TGACTAAAAGCGCAAATAAAACACATTTTCCGCCTGACAATGAAGGATACAGTGAGCTCCAGAGCATGTGAATGTATTCCCTCAACCCAACCTGTCACTGTATATGGAAAATACTGAAATCAATGCCTCGCCAGCGGCTGTTTCGATTGAGCATGTAGTAGCGAATAGTATCCAACTGAGTAACCATCCCAATCGTACTTCGGAAAGTGCCATGCAATCACCTGTCCAGGTCATGAAAAGTCGAGTGGAGAGCGATGGGGAGGGGGGGATTACATGAAGTCTTCACAGCATTTCCAACCAATCCTTTTCACGTTCCTCTGTGTATTTAGCGATCATCTCAGATTGCGACAGCACCCTACCTCAAAGGATCCCCTAGGATTTGAACCATTTGCGTATTTTCCTAGGTTAAGGTTATACCTTTTGTAGAGCGTCTCGGGCGAAAAGGAAAGTGTAGGCATTGATCTAGCGCTTTGGTATGAAAGCCGGCGTTTTCAGCGATTTGGGAGAAACACAGTGTTTCGAACGCGAAAAAAAGCTTAGCAAGCGTTGCGGACAAGAGATTAGCGTTTTCAGCGAAACCCTCGAAACTTAAAACGCCGACGAGAGTATGAACACAGCCGGCGCAGTTTGGCTAGGGGTGGCACTTGGTACTTTCGCTACTTCCCACTGTCTTGTCGAGCCACTGAGAAAGTTTGTGGAATCATGTGAGGACCATGAAAAGATACCAGTCAAACCTAGGAGGTAAAGGGTTCGTTACGAGAGTTGACAGGTAGAAACTACCCGCTTACGCTTGTAACGAACCCTTGTCACCTTGTGAAGCAGTGACAATGAACAAGATACAGCAAAATGCCCCTCCTAGACGCACTGCGCCAACGCAGCCCTATATATGAATTGTATAGAGCAAACGTCTTCCATCAAAACTGAAGATTCCGCTCCTATCTGTATTGAGGTGCAACTTATCCTTTTTCCTCAGCACTCAATAGACCCATCGTAAGCCTCGAAAAATCAGAAAACCTTATGCACTAGAATGCAAAAAAAGCAAGAAAACTCT